TGGGAGGCTAAGGCAAGAGAATCGCTTAAGCCCAAGAGTTTGAGGTTGTTGTGAGCTGTGACACTACAGCACTCTACCAAGGGTGACGTAGTGAGACTCTGCCTCAAAAAAAAAAAAAAAAGTTTGGTATAGAAAACTTCTGCAATGAAGTTTATAAATGGGGAAACCACAATCCCATAATTACAAAAATCACCATAATTAATATTTTCATTTCCTTCCAGTCCATAAAATGATATACAATTCTGTAGCCTACTTTTATTTATATAACATTATGACATAAGCATTCCCTATTTTATGAAGTCTTCAAAGATAATTTATGCTAAATAATATTTCACTGTATGAATAGATCACTACTTCCATAAGCATTAATATAAGATGTTCAGGTGGTTCCAATTTATTTTTGCTATATAAAAAATACGTAGGCTGGGCCAGGTGGTTCATGCCTGTAATCCTACCACCATGGGAGGCTGAGGTAGGTGTACCACTTGAGCTCAGGAGTTCCAGACCAACCTGAGCAAAAGCAAGACCCAGTATCTACTAAAAACAGAAAAACTAGCCGGGTGTCATGGAGAAAACTTCCAGCTACTTGAGAGGCTGAGACAATCAGATTGGTTGAATCTAAGAATTTGAGGTTGCTGTAAGCTATGACACCATAGCATTCAGCTCCAGGGCAACAGAGAGAGACTCCATATTAAAAAAAAAAAAAAAAAAGTAATACATATCTATGTCTATAAGTTTTTTCCATATTTAAAATTATTTTCCCAGCCTGCCCAAGAGCGAGATCCCATCTCTATTAAAAAGAGAAAAAAAAGAGAACAACCCATCGTGGTGGGTGCCTCTAGTCTCAGCTACTCGGAGGCTCAGATAAGAGGATAAAGTTTGAAGATGTTGTGAGCTATGACACCATGGCACTCTATCCAGGGTGAGAGAGTAAGACTGTCTCAAAAAATAAAATGAATGAATAGTAAAATTATTTCCTTTTGCGATTCTCCAGAAATGGAACTGCTATGAAAGTTACTATAAGCCTTTATAAGCTTGTTATACATATATTCAAACTATTATCCAAAACTGCCCCTATTCATAACCATGCATGATACTGAAATGAAAAATTGGCTTGGCACCCATAGCACAGTGGTTACGGTGCCAGCCACATACACCAAGGGAGCCAGGTTCGAACCTGGCCCA